CAACACATTCACAACATGTCCACAACACGTCCACAACACGTCCACAAGTTGTCCACAACATGTCCACAACACGTCCACAACACATCCACAACATGTCCACGACATGTCCACAACATGTCCACAACACGTCCACAACACGTCCACAACACGTCCACAACACATCCACAACACGTCCACGACATGTCCACAACATGTCCACAACACGTCCACAACATGTCCACAACACGTCCACAACATGTCCACAACACGTCCACAACATGTCCACAACTTGTTGTCCCGGCTCAGAACCAGTTGTTTCTGTGTCCGACAGATGATGGGGAAGCCCGGCGAGTCGGGCCGGCAGCACCAGAGCCACCCAGAGGAGACGGAGGAGGAGCTGAGGGAGCACCAGGACGGAGAAGGCGGGGCTCTGCTGCCGGGGGTCACCATCAAGCAGGAGCCCCCCGACCCGCAGGAGCTGCAGGAGGAGCTGCTCTTCAGACAGGTAAACCTGTCTCCCCACCTGCCTGACAGCTGGGTGGTCTCTGCTGCCACCTGCTGGCTGCCCGCTGCACCTGAACCTAAATGTTTTTCTCTTGGGGTGGGGGGGAGCAGCAGGCCCTCCTGCTGGAACAGCAGAGAATCCACCAGCTGAGGAACTACCAGGCCTCCATGGAGGCAGCTGGCCTGTCCGTGTCCTTCCCGGGCCACCGTCCCCTGTCCCGGGCCCAGTCGTCTCCAGCCTCCAGCCCCTCTTTCCCGATGGGTCCTGCCCCCGACCCTCCGGTCGCCCGCTTTACCACAGGTCAGCACCGCTCATCCTGAGCTGCAACTTTTAGCTTCATGTCAGAACCACCAGACCCGGTTCTTCTTTTCTCTAAAGTCCAAACTGCTGACTGACAGACTAAGGCTGAAGTTAGCACAGCAGTAGCTAAAAGCTAAAAGAATGCCAGAATGCTGGAACAGATTTTACAAAGTGTTTCTGAAGAGTTCTCTGAAAATAATCAGAACATTAAATATTTGAAAAAGTATTCATTCACACAAACCAAAAGTCACAGCCGAAATGTCCTGAACAACCCCAACATTTGATAAAAGAATGTTAAAGTAGCTAAAGTATTCATACATGAATGGTTAAAACAGCTAAAATTTGGATATATAAATGTTAAAGTAGCTAAAAGTTTCAACCATGACTGGTTAAAACGCTAAAGTTTTGATATATGAATGTTAAAGTAGCTAAAATATTCATACA